GCCAACCTATGGGTGGTCCTCCTCCAGAAGTTACTATTACCCTTTGTAATATTACTGCCCCAAAATTAGAACGATGGAAAGGAAATGATAGGTACATTTAACTATTTGTTAAATTAGTTTGTTATATATATTATTTATTATAATTAACATATATATATTTTTCTTCAGTACGGATGAAAGTAGGGATGAACCTTATTCTTGGGAAGCTAGAGAATTTTTACGCAAAAAACTTATTGGTCAAGATGTAGCTTTTGTTACAGAAAAATCTGTTAATACAAATAGAACTTATGGTACTGTGTGGTTAGGGAAAGGTACATATTTTATATAAATTTATATATTTATTATATAACAAAATTGATTGAAAATTTATTAAACTTTATTATTGAAACTTTATTAAACTTTTTTATAATAATAGATAAAAATGGAGAAAATGTGATTGAGACATTGGTATCTGAGGGTTTAGTAACTGTAAAGAAAGATACTAGAAATCCCAGTCCTGAACAAACTCGTTTAATAGAATTAGAAAATGCAGCTAAAACAGCTAAAAAGGGAAAATGGTCAGAATCTCCAAATTCTGAACATATACGTGATGTAAAATGGACTGTGGATGATCCCCGCAAATTAGTTGAAAAATTCGGAAAAAAACCTGTGAAAGCTATTATTGAATTTGTTTTTGATGGATCTACAGTAAAAGCACTTTTATTACCTGATTTTTACAATATAGTATTAATGATATCGGGTGTTCGATGTCCTGGATGGCCAAATGGAAGACGTGAAAATTCAGTAGGTGATCCTTATGCAGATGAAGCAAGATATTTTGTAGAATCTCGTCTTTTACACAGAGATGTCGAAATAGTACTTGAATCTGTTAATAATAATAATTTTATTGGTAGCATTCTTCATCCGAAAGGTTAGTATTTTGAAATAAATTAAGGAAATTGAATTATTTATAAGCTTATATAATTAGATATAATTATTAATTTAATGAATGTTAATAGGAAATATTGCTGAAATTTTATTGAGTGAAGGATTTGCTAAATGCCAGGATTGGTCAATTAATAATAGCAGAGCTGGTGCAGAGAAACTTTATCTTGCAGAGAAAGCTGCAAAAGAAGCGCGTTTACGTTTATGGAAAGATTACAAACCATCAGGTCCACAAATTGAATTTACTGGTACTATTGTGGAAATCATAAATGCAGATGCACTCGTAATTAGAAGTCAAAATGGAGAAAACAAGAAAGTATTTTTGAGTAGTATTCGACCACCATCCAGAGAAAAAAAAACCAATGAAGAATCTAATAATACTACTAGAAAAGATTTTAAACCTCTTTACGATATTCCATGGATGTTGGAAGCTCGTGAATTTTTACGCGAAAAATTTATAAGAAAAAATGTAAAAGTTGTAGTTGATTATACTCAACCTGCTAGAGACAATTTTCCAGAAAAATTATGCTGCACTGTTACATGCGGTAAAACGTATGTTATAATATAATTTATTCATTTTCTAATATATTTATTATTTATTCTATATAATAATATATAATAATATATAATAATAATAATATAATCATTCTTCTAGGAATATTGCTGAAGCTTTGGTTGCTCGAGGTTTAGCAAGAGTCATCAAATATAGGCAAAATGATGATCAACGTTCATCTCATTATAATTTGTTGCAAGTTGCTGAAAGCAAAGCAGAAAAGTCTCAACATGGTTTACATGCGAAAAAGGATATTCCAGTACATAGATTGGTAGATCTTTCTAATGATCCATCAAAAGCAAAAGCATTTTTAACGTCTCTTAAACGAGCGCAAGGGATTAAAGCTGTTGTTGAATTCGTTACCAGTGGATCGCGTCTAAAATTGTTTTTACCAAAAGAGGATCAACTTATTACATTTGTCTTAGCTGGTATAAGAACACCGCGATGTCAAAGATCATTACCAGGTGGTGGTATTGTTAAAGCAGATGAATATGGTGAAAAAGCATTAGCTTTTACTCGAGAGCATTGCTTTCAAAGAGATGTAGAAATAAAAATTGAAAGTACAGAAACTAAAGGAAGTGGATTTATTGGATGGTTAACAGTAAATGACATTAATATGTCTGTTGCTCTTGTTGAAGAAGGTCTTGCAGAAGTAGTTACTTTTCCTGATTTTGGTGAATTAACAAGAACACTTAAAGCTGCAGAAGAGCGTGCCAAAACAAAAAAATTAAATGTAAATAAACTTGTAAAATATCATATAAACATAGAATATTATAAATTATAAATTATATTATTATTTTTTATTAAAATGTTATATATATATATATAAATCTTTTATGTATCTATTATGTTTTCTAGATGTGGAAGAATTATGTAGAAGTGCAAGTTGAAAATGAAAAAAATGAAAATGATAAAGAAATTGTAGAAAGAAAAATTGACTATCAAGAAGTAGTACTGTCTGAAGTTACTGAAGATCTTCATTTTTATGCACAAAGTGTTGATCAACGTAGCATGTTGGAAAATTTGCTTCTACAATTACGTCAAGAATTAGCATCTAATCCTCCACTTCCGGGTGCTTACAAACCCACTAGAGGTGAATTAGCAGTTGCTAAATTTACTGGTGATGATCAATGGTATCGTGTTAAAATAGAAAAAGTTTCTGGTACAAATGTCAGTGTGTTTTATATTGATTATGGAAATAGAGAAATAATTAATGTCACAAGAGTTGCTGATTTACCATCAAGATTTGCTAATGATAAACCCTATGCTCACGAACATATTCTCGCTTGTGTCGCGCTTCCAAATGATGTAAGTAATAGCTAGTATAAAATTAAATTAATAGTTCGTATAAAATTTTTTACTTGTAATTACAAATTATAAATATTTCTAATTATTTAATTATTTCTAATTATTATAATTATAAATACATTTTTATATATAATTTATTTTTTTGAAATTATAATCGAATATAATTTTTTTCCATAAATAGAATGATGACAAAAAAGCGGCAGTTGAAATCTTTAAGGAAGACGTAATGGATAAAATTTTATTAATGAATACAGAATATAAATTAAATAATAATGTTACCGCTGTAACATTAGTTGATTCTTCTTCTAATGAAGATATCGCAAAAGGACTTATTTCTGACGGATTATTACTTGTTCAAAACCAACGTGATAGAAGACTTATTAAATTGGTAATTTGCTATTATGTATTTTTTTATATTTACGGATATTAATATCTTATAATAATTTTTTGTATATATAAAGTAATTTTAATATATAAATTCATTTTTTCAATAGATTGAAGAATACAAGAAAGCAGAAGAAGATGCGAAACATAGTCGACGTAATATTTGGAGATATGGTGACATACGAGCAGACGATGAAAAAGAATTTGGATTGTAAAGAAATAAATGCTCAAGGACTGGTTAAAAAGTGGTCAATACAGGGAAAAAGACATGTTAAAACTGCATAATAATTATGTAAGAACCCATTACATAGATTAACAAAAAATAATAAATGTCCATATGAGAGTTATATGTTGCATTGATTATGATGCAGTTATATTTCATTACAAAAATATGAATTGTACATAACAATTTCATTAATTCTTGTAATTTTTGAATGAAACAGTGGCATAATATATTGCATAACATGTTGTCATCAATCATTATTTGTATTACACTGTAAAGTTTTTCTTATTAATGAACTTCAAGAATTCCATGTATAACTATTTTCAAATTTTCATAATCCATGTGCAATTTTTCATGCATTATAATTGAGATAAATCTTTTTTTCTTTAAAAAAAAAAGTATATGTTACATTTCGTCATATAAAAATTATATGAATGAATATAAAACTCATAATTGTATATTTTGTCAAACATACTCATTTAAGTATGTAAGAATTTATATTAAGAAAGTATGTTATTTTAATTGAAAGCAGTATCACAGTAGATTATTGGGCAAACAATTTCAATTAAACGTAATTATTACGTATTAATATTACGTATATACATATATAAAATTTTTCATCTATTATAAATGAATATTTCTGACTTATATCTATTTTATTTCATAGTTGTATATGTGTGTAATATTTTATTTACTTAACAAAAGAATAAATTATGCTTATTATATTTTTTCATTAATGAAAAAAAAATCATTGATAATATTTCAAAGTTAATTAAAAATTATCAATTTAACATTATAATATTATAAACAAAAATAAAAAAATATATTTCTTTATCGAAATATTGATGTTCTTTATATATAACACATATATATAACTTGAAGTAATAATTCATAAATAAACTATATTATTATAAATTTGTGAACAGTAAAAGAGATATTGAGTGTGTATGTTCAAAGCAAAGTTTTTAATTGATTTTTTTATATAAATATTCAATTTAAATAATTGAGTTAATGATTAATGATTCTTAATACGTATTTGAATATGCCAGTAATTAAAATTAAGATATTATTAAAATATATGATCAGATAAAGATGCAACAGTTTCTGAAAATGAAATTAAAAATGTTTAAAATATAAATGTAATACCAATTATACAATTTAAAAATTTGACTGATTTGTAACTAATTTTATGACAACATATGATATATGCTGTATACCATAAATAAACTATAAAACTTTTTTATTTACACCATTATTTTTTATTTTAAAAAATATATTAATAATGATTTTTCTAATACAATATTCTTTAAATATGTTTATTATTATAATTTAATATCATAACTTTGCATATAGTTTTTATTTCTGAATATTTTATATTTAATATTTTGTACAAAATATATTATTTCTAAATATTCTGCTATCTTATTGCAAAAAAGTGTAGAAATATTATAGGATGCAGTTATACAACTACAAATAATTTATAAAAATATAAATACAAATAATAGATTATTCACTATTTACATTATGAAATGAGAAGGTGAAATAAAATAAATACACCAGTCAAAAAATCTATTTTTATGTATAGGAATACAAAAACTTATAAATGGATATATATTAACAATTTTAATCATAGTTATATTAACAAGTTATACATTAATTTCAAAGTCAATTGTATGTTTTAACACTGTATTATCCCAAGAGCAAGAGTATAAATATCTGTTGAACCATGTAAGACCACGTACAAAATCAGTGTGATGATCATCTTGATACATTAGTAAAAGATCATTACTTATATCAAATACTTCTACAAAAACATCGTTGCAGCATGCAGCTAATTCTATCCTACTATGTAATAATAATTGTATAATTTATTATATTGATAACATATTGATTTGTATTTATCAGTTTATATTACCTTTCTGAATTTGGATTAAATGAAAGTCTATGTACTGGTCTAGAAAATGCAGATGATTTTGATAATACTTTTACACCTCCCTTTCTGACATCAATTATTAAAATTTCTCCATCATCAGTACCTATTGCTAAAATATTTGATAAATTTGGACTCCAACATATTGCATTTAAACCAGCATCTTTCTTTAGAATACCTAATGAATAAATTTAAATTATATTTATAGAAAATGAGAAGAAAGATTAATTATAAATAAATGTTTATGTTAGTATTTGAATATATACTTTGAGCTGGCTTTGATTGTCTTATATCCCACATTAATGCTTCACAATCTGATGATGTTGATGCAAATTCTGTATTACTTTCAGGTTTAACATCAATACAAGTAATTGTATCTGTATGAGCAAAACTAAATGAATATGTTGCTATTAACTCTGATATATCCCATATTTTTATACTATAGAATAATTATAGTTATTTATTAAATATTTAAAATATTTATTTAATATAATTATTAATTTAATATTTAATATAAAATATTAATTGAATTTACCAACAATCCATTCCTCCTGAAACTACATGTTCTTTATCTATAAATGCAGATAGAGTTAATAAACTACTATCATGTAAAGTGGCATATCCTGCACATTGTAATTCTTCTGAGTCATTAGGCATTTTAGATAGATCAAAAATTTGTAAAGCTCCACTATCTTCACCAATTACAAATTTATCGCTTTGTAAAAAAACAGCATCACAAACACAACTCTCTGTTTTTATAGCAAAGAGAGCTTTATCTCTATCAAAATCTGCAATATCATTATAATACCAGACAATACCATTCCAATAGCGATCTGTCAGATTATTTCCTCCAAGAATAGCACTTTTTTCTATGAATAAATAAATATGCATATTAAATGATGTATATATAAAAAAAATATAAATCTAATTATATAATATAATTACAAAATTAAAATTTTTTACGCATATATTTACATAAAAAATTTAAATTATATTACCATTATAAATTGTAATAAATTGCAAATGTTTATTAATAGTAGGTGGCCTATCTGTTATAGTCATATTTCTGTAGACATCAGCATTTAAATTTGGTGGTGTTAAATAATCCATAATGCATTAATTTTAAAAATTAATAATACTAACAATACCGATTTTATTTAGAGTACGTTACTGTAATATAAATTGCATCATGTTTTATAGTAATATGTTTTATATTAAATATATGTTATAAATTATTGCAAATCAAATAAACAAATTAAATCATATACAATAAACATAAGATAAATTAATTACCCTGTATACTTTTGTATAACAGGACTTCGCTGTATGCTATCACGTGTTTCAATGTTTAAGATGAGAGAAACCATTATCATTTTTGTATGATTTTCAACTTTACCGATTTAGTATAGAATAAGATTACAGCACTAATAGTGATTGAAAATAAAATTAAATATCGTCACAATGACAATTACAGATGAGATTCAAGATAAATCTAATATTTAATAGTGAACTTTGTATTTTGTAATAAGAATTTATATCCGATGAAAATGTTTTCAATTGATATCATGTGTAGTCACGTGCTAAGAACAAATATATAGAAGAACAAATAGTGCAAAAAAGATAGAAAGGTAAGAATTGATTATTGGCGGTATCTCTCGAATATCAAAAACATTTCTTCATATCAATGAATATCAAAAAAAAGATAGGATGAGATAATGTAAGAGTTGAGAATTAACGCCATTAATGAATATATTTTTGGAGAGATATCATTAAAGAGATAATGTTAACAATCAATTTTTATCCTATCTCTATCCTTCTTTTTACTACTTTCCTAGTATTATTTTTTTTTTGTTTTTCTTGTCTTTATTTATATTTCATTTATCGTATTCTAAAGATGATGCTAATTCTCAAATTTTTACTTTATATTTCTTCCACTATCTATTTTCTTTGTTTATATTTCTTAGCATACCACAAACAAAAATGCAATCTGATTTTGAGTTAAATCGGTAATATTGACAATAATATTAAAATGATAAAAGAATTATTCTGAAACATGAAACAAAAGAATAAATTGAATATTAAATCTATTCTGTACTATACTCATCTGTGACTATATTTTATTTATGTTATGAAATTGCATAAATGAAACAGAATATTCAATATTGTTTGAAATATAATTATATTTTATTTATTTTATAAATATTTGAAAATATACAAAAATATAATTGATTTTTGACGAATTTTATAAAAATATATGAAATTAATAATAGTAAATAATATTTGAAATTAATATAAATATAAACATAAACTATTATATATTTCAGTAATATTTAATTATTAAAAAATTCTTACATTTATACGTAAATAGAAAACAAACATAATTATTATTAAAAGTAAGGAATAAATTAATAATATAATAAATTGAATAATATTTTTAACATATGAATTATTTTTTGCATATAAATTATCTCAAATATTATAATAAAATTCATAATTTTATTCTTTCACATTTTATTTTTATTTAATAACAATTAAATATATTAAATATAATTGAATGCTTCGATAATTAGGAGATAGTTCCTATCGATAATCCTCTAGAATTCATATCGTGTATTTTACCGGCATTTCAATTTTCGGGATACGCAGAAGTAGCGAATATGATTACCGCGGTAACGTCTGCCCATGACGTAACGGCTATACTTCTGATAATTTCCGTCGTGACGCATGCGTATTCGATTCAGAGCAAAAATCAGAATTAGTTCAACGGAATCCCGGAAAGTAGCGAGTGTGAGACACGACGGTACCGCTCTATAAAATCATAAAGAGCGCTGAGTAACCTGTCAAGACGTCGTCTCGTATCGTTATTTACGTTCTCAAAGGTGTAGTGGGTAATCGTTCATAGAATTCGGTCGGCTTCCAGACAGGATGGTGAAGCCTGAGCAAATTTTAATTATCGAACCGCGAAGTGAACTGCGGTTCAGGGGTACGCTTAAACGACGAATCATTCTTTTATATACATTTTACTCGCACATTTTCTTTCTTCTTCATTCTTTCGAGTTTTGTTCGATACGTGACTGGCAAGCGCTTTGTTGGTTAGTTAACACGAGCTGCACACGGTGCGCTACGTTGTCAAGATGACGTAAGGTTGACTCTACTAGCCAATTTTGTTGCATTTTGATTTGTAACCAAATAGGATTACGTACGACGACCCAGTAGAAATCATCGGCCTTTTCAATCGTACCTAACCCCATTCGTCGTATGTCATTCGCTGTCAAAGCTAAGTACAGTCACGATTCAATTCTCAATCTCCCCTCTCACTTCTCTTTCCCACTAACTGATATACAGCATATTCGTCCAGTTATATTGTATGTATTTATTTTTGCATCATATTTTCAATATTTGTACACTTTTAGAATTTTTAAGATTAATATTAAATTTTTGTATTAATATTTGAATTAAATGACATATGTTAAATGTTATTTTTAGCATGTAAATTTATTTAAAATTATGTAAATTTATTGTAAATTTAAGAATATATTTGCATTTTAAAAATATCGAAAAAAGATTTTTTATAAAATAATAAATAGTTTTTATTGAATGACATTTATCAAAGATTTATAATTTTGTTATTTATCTAATAAAAATATATAGTATTTTATTATAAGTGAAATCTAATTACACAAAACAAATATTAAACTACTCTATTTATAATTACAGCATTATATTTGTATTATTAATGATTATTATATTTTGCATTCTATTCTATAAATTCCTATTTCATATATAAATGTATAAAAAATGCAAGATAAATATTTATATCAATCACACATATATTTTATAAAATTAATTAAAACCTTTATCACTTTTTTTTATATAATTTTTGAGTGAAAAAAGTGATAAGAATAGTATTTTAACCTTTTTTTTAATATAATTTTCATGTTAAATTATAGGTCCATTCACAGAAAGGACAGTCACATCGTATATAAAATTAACTAATCCATCAAATCACAAAGTTTATTTTAAAATAAAAACAACTGCTCCAAAGAGGTATTGTGTACGACCAAATTGTGGATATCTCAAACCAAAGGAAATTTCACAAATAGCTGGTCAGTTTTAGTTATTTAATTAAATTAAAAAGTAATGATTATAATATATAATTTTTGTAAAAAATTTTATCAATATAGACTTTTTACAAAATTCAAATTATTATTATTTATAAAATAGAAAATTTAATTCATTAGATATTATATTTTTCAGTAACTCTTCAACCATTTGATTTTGATCCAGCAGAGAAAAATAAACATAAATTTATGGTGCAAGCTTTAGTAGCTCAAGATAATGATGATGAAGAAAATCCTGACATGGTATGTAATATTACAATTAGTGAAATATTTTAATATTATTTATTATTATTTTTTGTTTTTTGAGTGTTTTATTTCTACATATATTATATTAATTGTAATTCTTATTTTTGTTTGAAAGTGGAAAGGCATAGATCCAGAACAATTGATGGAATCTAAATTAAAATGTGTATTTGAAAATCCTGTAATTAAAACAATGACAGCTGACACAACCAAATCAGACGTTACTACAAATAATGGCAAAAATAAAGGAGTTGGTGATTCTGTTAAGTCATTGCCAAAGGTAATAATTTTATTTTCATTAATTTCAATAATTATTCTTTATGTGAGTGAATGGTATGTTTATTTTATTAGGTTCCTGGAGAAACAGAAGAAAAATTAATAAAAGCAGCACAAGAAGTCAATCAACTTAGGGAAGAAGAGAGTGCCCTTAGGCAGGAAAATCTCCAATTGAAGGTAAACAATTGAGAACTAAATTATTTTCACATAAATAAAATAAGAAAATTGACAATACTAATAAAAAGAAATTGTATAATGATAAATATGTATAGAGTACTAACTCTTATTTGTAGGAGGATTTGTTGCACTTACGAAATGCCATGTTGGTTAATGAGGCTACATTAGCCACTAAAAATATTAACTCACAGAACAGTAGCGAATCGTCACCGCCAGTTATCAGCATCCTTATTGCTGTTCTCATGGTTATAGTGGGATATGTGCTGGGAAAAATGATCTGAGCAGCCATTACTTTACCGCATAACTTGGCACATCCCCTCTTCCCCTGTGTTTCTTAGCCTGCCCCCCTGCTACCATATACCACGTACTGATCGCAAAGGTCGAAACCAGTCATCGTATTACACGATTGTTCATAATAAATACTATAAACATGAACGGGTAGTGGTTTACAATAATAGAATTAATCGCTGCAGGAGTGTGCTTCTATTTTGGTAAAGCGATTAAATTCGAAATCCTTTTTTAAGAAATAATCACTATACTCGGATGGCACATATTGATAAATAGGTGCAGCAAATCCTGTGGATAAATTTTGTTTATTACGTATCAGAAAATATTATTAAGTAACAAATTATCAATAAAAATTAAAGATTATATATCTTCACGTTTTTTACATTATTCTATTATATTTCTTATAAAAGGATTCTCGCTTTACAAATTTGCTTGCGGCTGTGTCTTTGAAACCATGTTGCCACTAAGTAAATTATGTATGGGATATGAAAATTTATGAAATATAATTCTTTTAAATGAATACATTCAATTAAAAAAAAAGTGAATTCAATTTTTCCAGGAACAATGATGCATTCTTACATAAAAAGGATAAATTTGAATATTCTTTTTGACATTCTAACAGTACTTAACAATCACACGATGTAAGATTGTACATAATGTATTTTAAGATAATATATTAATGTATCTAACGTATATAGTCAGGAAGGGAAGGGGGGCTGGCTGATTAGTAGTGGTTCAGTGACTCAGAATTTGGATACGCTGGCTCTATCCATCAGCAATGATATATCATTTAAGAAGTTGATGCATTAAAGTTTTTGACGCTTCAGTGTATTTTTATTTCTTTATGTTTGTCTTATAAAAATTCGAAATAAAGATATCTCGGATGTCACATGGTGAAACTTTTATATTTTAAACCTTTCTGCTAATAATTGTATTTTTAAATAATTTGCAGTGGTACATGGTATACATGGATATGGTACCGCTTAAAAATTCTATCATAATTCATACAAATCTATATAGATGTGTATATATATATTTATATACACATTTATATGGTAATTCGTAAATTGTCATATCACAAATAATATTGAATACATCATAGTTATTGCATACAAATTTAATATACGAACAATAAATATCCATATATCTGTGCCTTAGAAATAGAGTCAAAAATATAACATAATTGTGCTTCATTAAAATTCTATTCTTCTAATATTTCCAGATTCTATAAATCCTTCAGATATTTTTTAATAATAAATATTAATTTATTAACTATAGCATGCAAATTTAAACTATAACTAAATTAATAAATACAAAGATGTAAACATTTATTATAATACAGATTGTATTATTTATTATTTCGAATACATATATATATATATAATTCTGTTAAAGTTAACAAATATATATTAACGTTTAATGAGTTAACGTTTAATCAGTAATTTATA